AGAGGTGATGGCGACTTCGGTATCCTAATGCGCTCCTGGCCAAGCGGCCAGCGGAGATGGCTGGGGCGCACCGTCTGCCCGCCAGCTGTATCTCAATGGGCCGGGCCGGGCTCCATAGCAGGCGAGAGCAACACCCTGGCTGGGCAGCCGAGTCTTTAGTGCACAGCGGCCTGGAGTGCACGGCAGCAGCGGGGCTCCGGACACACGAACACTTGGGCAGGCGCCGCCTGGGTGGCGTGGAGCAGGGAGAGGGCATCAGCCGGATTCTGCGGACTGATCATGGCCCTCACGTCCGCTCCATCTCCCCCAAGTCGCCCCGACTCATTGCCCTCCATTCTCTGCACGCCTCTGCTCTGTGCCTGGGAGCACAGCCCAGTACACAGGTGAACTACAAGGGTTGGTGACACGGAAAGAAAGAACAGTCACAAGGAGTTAGGACAGAGCAATGCCTTGAGTCACATTCCACAGCTACCTTTTTCCTCTAAGAGAAAGGAGCGAGAAAACATTTGTGTGTGTGGGAAATTAGAGCGGGGCCAGGAAAAAGCAGCACTGAAAGGTGCCTTAAACGGGCCTTGTTGGAGCGCTATTCCCAGGATGCTCTCCACACTCTAGTCTGCTTTCCGGTGCCCCTAGAGGCTGTGGCTGGATGGGTCTGCCAAGTAAGGTTGACACACCCCTTAGCATTCCAGGAACTCTGCCTTAGCTCTCCAAGCCTCCGGATGTCTTGCGCTCCGGCCATGTGAATTCGCTGCCAAATTACTAGGATGTGGAATAGCTCAACACCAATAGGTACTGATAACGAGTTTTAAGACACTTTCCCTTATCACCACAACCTGTAGGCCTCACCTGTGCTGTAGAAGGAAGGGCTTCACCTTTGCAGCCATCAGAGGAACAGATCCGGGGAGCGTGGGGCGAACCACCGGGAAGGCAGGCCCACTCAAAGTGCTCTGGCTTTGGGGAGTTTGGGGAGGCTTGTCCTCTGGAGTGCAAGCCAGTGGCGAGTGAGGTGCTGTGACCTGGAAAACCCTCCGGAAGTGGCACGGGGCAGAGCCAGACTTCCCTGGAAAGATGGCTGTGTCTGCGTTGTGAGGTCTGGTTTGGGTCACAGAGGGGAAAGGGGATGATGTAACTCTTTGGCTTTTTGGACCAGCACAAGCCCCGGCCCTGCACTCCCAAAAGAGGGCCATTAACACCTTAATACCCTGAGGATGGAAGGGATCCTGGCAGCTTAGGGTAACTGCAAGTACCTACCATTCAGCCGGCCAAGTGATTGGAATTTGGAAAATTGTTTCAAAATTACCTCCCCCGACACACACACACACACACACACACGCCCCAAAAGAGTTCCCCCTCAGTGCTACGGAAGCTAACCTTTGGAATCCTCGAGGCTCCTAGTAACCCTTCTAGGATTTCCAACTGGACAGGTGATTGTGGCTTGCAGCCACTTTGTCAGACCTGTGAGAGCGAGGACGGACTTTGGGAGCAGGACAGAGGGAATCGCGGGGATCTGTGGCAGCCCAGAAAGTGCAGTCTTTCTCACCCCAGGTGGTGCAGGTGATCTTTAGGCCTAAAATAAACCAGAAAGCAAAAAGATGGTGCTCCAGTGGCCTGAAGCCACTCTTTCCTGTATAAGTCAGCCTTACACTCTCCTAGGCTAGGAATCGGGAGTCAGACAAAAGAGGCGATGGTTGGGGGTGGGGATGTTCTCGGGAAGAAATGGGAATGAATTTTTGGACAGGAAAACTTTTGGTCTCCAGAAAGCAAAGCTTCTCCAAGCGAATGGCTCATGTGCCCTTGAGAAACCTGAAAAACACGGCCCAAGGGCCATCTTGGCCACTGGGCCTCAGCTGACCCAAATGAGCCCTTCCCGTGGAGAGGACACTCACTTTATCTCACCCAGCACTCAGGGGACGCCGAGCAAGGGTCTGGTGGGCGCACTGGCTCCCAGAGCTGGTGGGGCTCGCCCCTCTCCCTCTTTAGTAACAGTGAAGACACAACCCAGCAGAAATGAGGCCTCTGGGACAGTCTCACCACCTGAAGGCAGAGCAAGTGCTCTGGGTCCCACGGTTTTTTGAGGTACAAACACCATTTCTGCCCGGAGGTGTTTTCTGTCCGTAGTCCGGGAGGATCAAAGCGAGCCCCCAAGAGAGGGAAGGTGAAGTTTCTCCCCAAAGCCAACAAGCGGCGCTGTTGCTGCGCCCAGGGTCTTGAGAGAAAGGGCCTTTGGAGAGCAGGGCACAGGGAGGGTTTTGGGGAGTGGGGTGGGAATCGCCTGGCCTGAAGCTTGACCCCGGGTGACACAGGTCCACAGATCCAGGAAGCCCCGGAAAGTGGATTAGAGAGCTGCCTGGGTAGGGTGGGAAAAGACCTGGCCCGGGTTCCGTTGCGCCCCTCTGGGTTCCCTCTCAGTAGGTGCTGGTTCGACTCTACAGTCTTGCTTCTCCACAGCCCCAGTCAGAACCTGTGTTCCTCCAGCTGTACTGATACCTGCCCTGCCGGGACACCTCCTGGCTCCAAAGGGAGGTCGAGCTGAGGGTGGGTTAATTAATAGTCCTCTCCGGGCCCTCCCCTGGCACCTCACACTCACGGACAACCTTGCTGGGATACTGGACATGTTGCTTTTCTAAGTTTCCTCAGAAGAATTCTGAAGGAAAGCCGGCGTGGCTCTTTCCTTCCCAGAGGCTATTCTGACCCCTCCAGAGCCTCCAGTCACGCTAACTGGCTGAATGATGACCTCGATGGGCAGTGGGGATAGTGGGTGAGTGGCAGCAAAACGGCCGGCGAAAGTGTTGCCCACGCTGCACGCCCTAAGTCAAGGTGGTCACATGGCAGAGAGCTGGGGGCTGGGGGCAGTGAGAAAGCCGCCCCATATCCTTGTGCAGGGGGAGGCGGTGATGAGGGCCCAGCCCTGGGGAAATGGGCTGTCACCACAACGGCTCACTTGGGCCCTAAAACTTGGAAAGAATCCTGACATCTGTCAGGCTGCTGGACGCCAGGCCGAGCGTCGGTTGGGTGGTTTCCTAAAACGCTTCACTTAGCAACCGCTCAGAGGGTCAGAGAACTCCGAGGGGGCATCTGGGTGAGGCAGCAGGGGCAAGGCACGCAGGTGCCTTTGGGGTAAGGTACCTGCTTAGTGGGACTCTGCCAGTTTGCCCAGACATGAGGTGAAGGTCGGGGCTGCCCAGTGAGTCCATTATCTGTGACCTGACGGTATGTTGTCCAGCCTGTGTGTGTAGACTGCTGTGAATACCCCTGCCACACGCACAAACACACCCACTCACACATCGACAGAACCCTTTTGAGTAGTTTACTTCCAATCCTAAATCCACCCACCTGTCCACTTGATCGTAGTCCTGAGTTGGGGACACTGGTGTTCATTCTCTTCAGACGAAGAAGAGCATATTGCCCAAGTGCCACTCTAATGTAGCAGACTGTTGGGGAACTGGCACCTGCGGTAGGTTTGGGGAACCCCGAAATCCCCAAAGGTTGCTGCCCACCAGGACCTGGAATGTTGAAGGCAATGGTCCACCTAAAGAAGGGGCTACCTTGCTCTGCGCTCCTCAACTCTGGGGGCATCCTATTTCATTTCTTCTGGGGAGAAAGAGGGGATCCCCAGCGTGCGGGGTATCCCAGGCATGCCTGGTTTACATGACCGCAAAGGAGGCAGGAGTGTAGAATTCGGTGTCAAACTTGGGGTTTAAGCCTCCCTTTTTGATCCCCACCTTTCCACGAGGCTGGGAGTCTGAAGCTCCATACCACGCAGACTCTTTATTTCAGACTGGACCACTTCTGCCGAGAGGCTTTCTGCTTCCCACCCGCTGCCTCCGGGAGCTTGAAGGGCTGCGCTCCGGCTGGCGGCGGCACTTGTTGGGGTTCCTCGTCCCACAGCCCGAGTTTCTGCGCCTCTCGTCTTTGACAGGCAGCACCGCCTGGCCCCGGGAGCCGGTGTTGGGAAGGCTGGAAAACAAGAAGTGAGAAGGCGGTATCCGTTAGCGGAGTGGACTCCCGCGGGAGGCGCTGGCCCGGCAGGTGCGCAGCCTGCGGAGGGGCCCCGAAGTCCGCCTCAAGAACTGCCCAGCTCCGCTCTGACCACTGCCCCCCCCCAAGAAACTTTTCTTTCACTTGGAGAGTCTCCGTGTTGCCATGAAAACGGATTTTCCAAGGGGCCCGACCCTCCCCCTCGGGGGCATCGGACTGGAAAAAACGAAATGGCCAGAGAGCAGAGACAAAAAGGGGCCGCTAACGGGGCGGGGGGGGGGTGAGAAACGGGAGCCTGAGAGTCGAGGCCAGCACCCCCTCCCTGAGGACCCCGCACAAACCCCAGCTCCTGGAGGAGGGGGTTTCTCCACTGCGCCTGGGGAACCCCACGATGCCCCGTGTCCCTTGAATGGGCAACAGACCCAGGACGGGGAACCTCGGTGCAGACCTGCGGGAGCTCTGCGGGGTGGCCTGGGACGGGGAGCCATGCGGTCCCCACAGGGCTACCAAGTTGTCTTCTGGTCCAGTGAGCCGACTCAGCCACAGTCTTCCCAGGCACTCACACTCCTTCTCCCTCTACCCCTCCCCCAGGCCCCGCCCGCCCGTCACCTCCTCCGGTTTCATCCTTTCAAAACTTTCCAAGTTCCTAATTGGTGGGTCTCCATGTGTGCGGGTCTTCCGCACTCCCGCCTCCTGAATAACTCTCAGTGTGTCAGGGGGCCCTGGAGGGGCGTGGAGGTGAGCGAGAGAGCTCCCCGAACTTTTTTTGTCCAACAGGGCCAGCCGGGGGCTCAGTGGTGATTGGTCAGGGCGCTTCAAGGCGAGGCTGTCAATCACCGAGCACCCCCCACCCCTGCAAGAGGCGGACCAAGCCCCAATCCCCGGGGATCCAAGCAGATATATAAGGGGCCCACCGAGAGGCAGGCGGCCTGGAAGCTCCAGGACTCAGGACCCGCTCTCGGGAAACGCATCAGGTGAGAGCAGAGACTTTGGCAAGCCTTCCCTCCGCGCAGGGCGCAGCTCCGACGGAGACCCCGGGCCTTTTTGCAGTGGCTGCTCCTGCTCCAGGAGCGTCTTCTCCACCCGCCACCCTGGCGCATCTCCTGCCCTCCCCGGCCATGTACAGTCTGCTGGAGACTGAGCTCAAGAACCCCGGGGGGCCACCCACCCCAGCAACAGGCGCCGTTGGCCCCGCGGCCCCGAGCAGTGCCGGCAAGAGTGGCGCGAACACAGGCGGCGGCGGCGGCGGCGGCAGCGGTGGCAGTGGCGCGAACGCAGGCGGCGGCGCGAACAGCGGCAGCGATCAGGATCGCGTAAAACGGCCCATGAATGCCTTTATGGTGTGGTCCCGCGGGCAGCGGCGCAAGATGGCCCTGGAGAATCCCAAGATGCACAACTCGGAGATCAGCAAGCGCCTGGGCGCCGACTGGAAGCTGCTCACCGACGCCGAGAAGCGGCCGTTCATCGACGAGGCCAAGAGGCTGCGCGCAGTGCACATGAAGGAGTACCCGGACTACAAGTACCGGCCGCGCCGCAAGACCAAGACGCTGCTCAAGAAGGACAAGTACTCGCTGCCCGGAGGCTTGCTGCCCCCGGGGGCCGCTGCCGCCGCCGCGGCCGCCGCCGCCGCCAGCAGCCCCGAGCCACGGGCAGTCACTTCGGAGTTAGGGCTGAGCAGCCCGCGGAGGAGAGCGTGCGAAGACCGCTGCA